ACTACTACTACTACTACTCCACTACTGCTTCCACTATTTGTACTACGACTGCGACTACGACTACTCCTGCTGCCACTGCTCTGCTACATCCTCCTCCTCCTCCTGCTTTGCCTGCTCCTGCTGTCTTAAAGGCGACTCCTTGCAACTGCTACTCGTGCTAACTTGTACTTTCACAGCCGCTGCCACCAATCAACCAGGTCGCCCTGCTGCCGTCGCCCTCAAACCAAACCAGCAAAACCATATGCAGACTTCGATTGCATGTTCCTGCATGGTGAAACTACATGCACGCCGCTGGACACCTGAATGACAGCATCATCCTCCATGTGCAAGATCCGATGTGTAGCCTGGCAGCCCATGCAAGCTGAGAGTAAGCTGAGTCTTCTCGACTCACCCCACACTGCTAGGAAAGCCGGCGCGAAACGAGTCTGGAAGCCTGTCTAGCTGCGTATAGTATAGCCGCGTGCAATGACAAGCCCCGGGTCCACACCAAGGGCCTTGTAGTGGACGAGAAGTGAGGCGAAAGCGGCACTGGCTGCTGCCCGAAGCGGTGCAGAGGCAAGCCAGGAAGTTGTCGCCTGCTGCAGCTCAGGATCCAACGGGCTACGTCCGCTCATGTGACGAGCAGAGGCTCAGAACAGTGCCTTGATGAGCCTCGCTGGCACGACAAACGAAGGCTCTCATTCAACAGGCTGAAGCACGCTCCAGCAGCAGCTTACTGTAAGCCACAGTGCCACATGGTGTCTGAGTCCCGGGCAACTCGTTGACTCGCTTCAACTCCTCTGCCCTCTCATGCTGCCGGATGGGCAAGTCCTGTCAAGTCCCTTTCCAGCCTCCTAGCCTCTGCAACTGGATGACCCTGGCGAAGCTAGGCATCTTCACAGCCTGCACCGCTGTCAAAAAGGAGCTCTCAAGTTCTCCCAGAATGAGGACCTCACATGCCATTTTGCCGGACGAATCAGCACCGAGCATCGCCGTTGGGACTCTGGCAGCTTGGCCACTCTTGCCTGCACGTGCCGTGCGACCCACTCGGTGGATGTACCTGCCCAGAACCGTATCTCAGCAAAACAGTCAAGCAGTCCTTACAACTTGCAACACGGGTACATCTCTCGAGTTGCTGGTGCTCCGAACTGCAGCACCTGCGATGACGCAACACACACACACACATACACACCCAAAACCCAACCACATCAAACCACCAAATCTGCTGCAAGCTCAAGCCAATGCCCGGCACGAGAGTCACATTGGGATAGTCCATGCCCCGAGCCGAGACCTAAGATTAGCCGCAGCTGCTTACATGGAAGCCACTGTCCCCCACGGGCTCATCATCAGCTCGCATGCCAGGTACTACATGATGCACATGATGCACCATGGTGCAGGGATGTGCGGGGTATACTGTGACAGTTTCTGCGCCTCAGGATCGTGACAAATGCTCCGAGGCGACTGCATCTGAGGAAAAGAGGATGCCGGACTGCGCTTCCTGCCGGCAGAGACACACAAAGGCCGTGTGCCACATCGTGATTCATGAAGTTCCGACTGAAGGCCTTGAAGCGCTCTTGTGTCGCAATCCGTGCATCAGCCTCAGCCGAAGACGCATTGCCAGAAGCCTGCTCCCGCACAAAACATCTCCTGCACATTCGACAACATGCTGCGACTCCGACATCACGTCGTCTGTGGATCTCGTAGACGCCTATTCGCAGCTGCTCCCGGAAGAACCTTCTAGCACCCGACTCTTCAGGCACAGGAGCAGGACATCTCTTCTTGGCTTCTGGCTGGGCCATGAAGGTTGTCAGTCGGGCCTGTTCACATGCAAACTAAATTGCTTAGGCCAACCGGTCACAACCGCAATATTTTTAGAATAAGAACTCACACGCACTGAGGCCACTGCTGTGGCAAAGAAGACCAAGATTTTGTAACCATACCTGCAGATCACCGCTGCAGATACTGGTTGTGATGAGATGACGGTACTCGCAATGAGGAGGCTGGTGGTGGTGGTGGTGGTGGTGGGCGGGTGGCGGCCCGGCGGCAGCGACAACGACATCGACGGTGAACGGAATCTAGCTGTAGGAGTAAAATACAAGCAGCCACCCTAAAACTTGCGCTATGCCGGCACGGAGTACCGTCCAGGTCAATAGTGATTGTAACATGTTGTAACTGTCGAACGCTTCGGCTGGACCATCTTGAATCAAACCCTTTTCAAATCCAAGTATCCTCCATACTGACATACTAAAGATATACTCGATTCCAGAAAATGCACATCTTGCGAGCAAGAGAAGACCCGTACGTCATGGCTCTTGAGGAGCGAAAGCAGCAAAGCTCACGATAAATCCAGAAAACTTAGCTTGAACCCTGAACGCGTGAACGCTATAGGACCTGGGAATGTACGACTGCTGAAGTTTTTCCGTTTTCAGGTAGTAATGGTCGAGTGTCATTGTAAGGGCTACTGTAACGGTTCTTCCGGGGGTTTGGGGCTTCAGGGCTTCAGGGTATTCTATGTAGACGTACGTGCTTCTGATCTCCTTGGCACAGCGAGTGGGAAGGAACCAGGTCTTACATGCCCGAGCTTCAAAGACGGATTCTGGTAAGATCTGAAGGAAGCTCTGCACCATGCAAGCTTAGCTCCGGTCTGCCATGGCTGTTGTATACAGACTCCACATGACAGCAGCAACATTAAGTGCTACGACGACCTGTCTGCAGCCATCTCGTTCATGATGAGGTTGTACAGCGCTGCGAGGCACTGGTGCCTGGCGTCGCAGGACGGCAGGTTGGGAGGGTTCCTGATCTGAACCAGGGGCCACTGCCCGTTCAAGACCACGTAGGACTGCTCCGCAGTGCTGGCAGTTGACTGGGACTCCTTCAATGCATCTCTCTACCTATAGGGCCTCAGAGGCGGTGTTACCAGAGAAGGCTCCAAGCAGGGCTCCTCCCCAACACAGTCGATGTAGCGGTAGTTGCCACGGCATGCTTTGGACACCACATCCATGACCTGAGGGGCTACTTTCATCCATGCCTACACATGCAGCCTCGAATTCTAAGTAGCCTTTAACGGAAACTTAGAAGCCGACACTTTCAGGCATGGTTGCAGAGAAGAGCATGGTGCGGCGCCTCACATCAGTGCAACAGCAGGCCGTGCCTAATGCCTGCTCAGACCCGGCTCAAGAGAAGCTGGGCAGGTTGCTGCGTGGGAAGGTACGACACGATCTCCCGCACCTGATTGCCAGGAATCGCCCTTCTTTCAGCTACCCCGCGCTTCAGGCACGAACAGGTACACCAAGCGAAGAAACTGCCAATAAATAGCTACAAAGCCATGAACTCATCAGTATCAACGGCAATAGACATGGTGACGATAATTCTGACAAGTACGACTTCCTAATCGTGTTCAGGGCAGTGGAGGCATGAAGGAAGTGTGACAAATTCGATGACAAAGCTTGACCCACGCATGTTGCATTTTGTCAAAGCTCTAATCGCTCCACTGAAAAGGACTGACTCTGAGTCTATGTTCTTGATAGCAACGCTCAGCACATCAATGGGAAATAGAACTTAGACAAGCTGTGGGTGTCAAAAGCAAATCGTTCCAATGATCTTGCTGGCAATCGTTGCGGCTGTAGCCACAGTGATTCTAGTGGAACTGGTAACGGTGATCGTATCACCACCAAGCTACGACCATCATCATAGTGATCAGATGCTGATGCTGATGATGACGATGATGATGCTGATGATGATGATGATGATTGTGCTTCTACCAACAGTCGTTGCTATGGAGAAAGAGGCCGATCTTGTGTTGGCATGCTCGAACAGCACCTGTATGATGACGATGCTGACGATGACGAGGATTATAATTCCAATAATGATCACTAGTTGTTTGGCTGTCGTTGCTGTAAAATGTTGTAGTCAATGTTGTTTCGATGCTGCAACTGCAGTGCAATCAGTGCAACCCTCAGCATTGCTAGTCTACTTCTAGTTTATAGTACTAGTACTGTGCCACCCTTACTTTCAATGCGATATTCAGTGTAACCTCCACTCCTGCTATAATTCAAGCTTTTGTTATTTCTCTTGTCGGGCGGCTCTTGTTGGAACGGCTGCGAATCAATCCCAGTCCTGGAAACTCTCTAACTCTCTAAACGTTCACATATGTACATACACAAACAGACAGACAGAGAGAGCGAAAGAGAGAGAGAGAGAGAGAGAAAAAAAGAGAGAGAGAGAGAGAGAGCGAGCGAGCGAGCGAGCCAAATTGTCGAACCGTCGAATCCAAAACTCACAAGCCTTCCGAAACCTTTAAAACCCTCAAGCCCAATCTAAGCCTGACAAAAACCCTATGGAAACAAACAACTGTATATTATAGTTATGTTATGTGATATGATATGATATGATATGTAATATAGCATAGTCTAGTATAATATATATATTATCATATTACAGTATGTTAACTTAAAAGCATATTATCGAAACCCCTGAAGCCTCAGGCCTCAGGCAGGAAGCCCAGGCTCAAGAGCCGGTCGGCCTCGTCCAAAACCTGGGCGCTTGAGACACTCAGAGCATAGTTATAGTGTATCCTAGTATGTCGTAGTAAGTTATAGCATGCTGTCAGATATCTTTTGTTTACGGGAAACATGGGTGGGTTTTAGTGTGTTACTCTAGGGTTTTGGGGTGTTGTGTGTTAAGCATGTTTAGGGTGTAGACTTGTCCGGGTTGGCTGCAGAATTCCAGAGGTGTGGGGTCGTTGAGGTTGGACGCTGTAAAAATGGGGCTAGGGTGAGGTTGGGGCTTCCGGCTAAGATGACAGCTCCGAGGTATAGGAGCACCTTGGATGGCCACTCGACAGCATGGATATGGATGGCCACTTGCGCAAAGTCCTGTGATCGCTATGAAATCACACCGAGCAGAATCTTACTGACCGGATGGCCGCTCAAGGATTTCTACAATAAAGTCGTAAATGAGTGCGTGAGCTCCCGGCCAAGGTTTGAAGATTCTGGACCAAGGTCGCAAACAGGTAGGTCCTGGCAGTCAACTTTCAATCAACTACCAGAAGCAAGACCCGACCCTAGGATCATCCTGCCTCTCCAGGTGCTCCAGCAGTCGCCCGGGTGTCGAGACCTGAACCATCTATATCTATATCTATATCTGTATCTATACATACATATATATATATATATATGTATGTTATAGTATACTCTAATTTATCTAAGTTCTAAAGGTATGTGTTAGTCACTAGGCAAAAAGCTGACGCCATTGCTTTCGGCAGCTGACGACAAGGAAACAAGGCCATGGCGACAGGTGGACGAAGCCACGACGACTGGTGGACGACGACAGGACGGCGACGCGACGACGACAGGACAACGATGCGACGACGAAAGGACACCAACGCGACGACGACGTGGTCACGCGTCTGTCGCGCATCCGCCGCACGAGCGTCGTCTGTCCGTCGCGCGCCCGCCGACCAGCCGTCATAAGGCCGAAATAAGGCGTATTTCGGC